CTGGAGAACAACCACTTGGCCAACTGACTGGAAGAGATCTATATTTGTGCCCATTCCAAAGAAGGGTGACCCAACTGAGTCTGGAAACTACAGAACAATAGCATTGATTTCACATGCAAGCAAGATTCTACTGAAGATTATCCAAAAACGACTGGAAGAGTACATCAGCAGAGAACTGCCAGAAGTCCAGGCTGGGCTTAGAAGGGGTCATGGTACTAGGGATATTGTAGCCGATGTTAGATGGATCTTAGCTAAAAGCAGAGAATACCAGAAGAATGTCTATCTGTCTATAGATTTAGTAGCTAAACATATTATCTATTTGTAACCCTTAGGAAAACTCTGTAAAAGAATGCCTCTCACACTTTAATGAGCAAACCTTTCTCATGGAGAGCTTGTTAATGATTCTGACTCAGCATGTGAGGAACAGGGCCTGAAATTATAGACTTTCTATAAACTCCTAGATGGGCACTAAAGCTCCTGGTTTTAGGACCACACTGTGAATAGAAAGAAAGAAAGAGCCATCAGTCACTAGCTACCACATGTAACAGAGAAAGTGCTATGCTTTAAAGGCCCTCTTCTATAGTCACCCAAATCTGAAGATAAACATGCCCTGAAAATCTTGTCTACTGTCCTCCTCAAAGTTATTATCATAAAGAACTACCCTCCTGCCTTCACTGTATAGAAATGATATGCTGCTGTTGCATTTCTAAAAGTCACTATTTCCAACATTATTTTTAATCTCAAACTCAGATGTGTGTAAAGCCAAGCAAAGAAATGTCTTGCCTTTATATTATTCTCTTAATGCAAATATATTTGTTTTCATTTAAGAAATTATGGTTTCAGTAAGTAAAAAAGGGAACACTCACATTTGGGGGAAGTTTTGAATATGCTTTCAGCCTCGTCCAAACTTCTTTCTGGAAAGTACTGTGAGGGAAAACTTCAGTAACAAGTCCTTGAGCACATGCTTCTTTTGCTGTTAATTTCTTTCCAAAAATGAGCATTTCAGCTGCCTGAAATGAAAAGCAAGATTAAGAGACTGATTTCATAAAATGAAAGCTTTGGTCAACTTCAGAATTAACTTCTTTCAGGAGGCAAAGGGAGACTCTTCTGAAGTTTTATGAATTTCTCTGAAAGAAGACACTGATGTCTCAATGGTGACAGTTTGCAAACTATGGGCTGAGTCTATCCTAAGGACGTAGGAAAGGCTAAGGGCTGTTTGCCTATATGACAGAGAAGGGTAGACGAGTGGAGGCGTTGGGGGTGGGCAGAAGGAAGACGCCAGGGGCAGAAAGGACATGAAACAGATGCTTGTAATCTAACCCACAGTCTATGATGTTCTGTTTTACAAACTAGGGCTCCAGTGACAAAAAGGAAATAAAGGGGGAAAAAAGGAAGAAAAACTATGGTCATTGGGAATATTACCAATTTTCGAAATGCGAACTTTCAATATGTCATTCCCTGAAAAGCCTACCCAGTGGTCTACCTCTGATAGTTTTCTCTACCTGGACAGGTAGTCAAATTTTATCTGACTGCATTAAAGAAAGGGCAATTATAGTTTTTAACAAAACTGAGAAGATTCTTGATTTTGGATATCCTTGACATTTGCAATTTCTATTTCAGAAATGTAAATATTGTAGCATGGGTAATATAGTCTGAGCCCTATTCTGGGTTCTGCTCAACTCTTCAAAGGTAATACCTGTATAGTACTTGAAGGGTTTACAATAGTATAATAAGATTTAGAAGAATAATATTTACTGCAAAACTTCAGTAAGTGAAAACAGGTTCAAGCCCCTCTACCAGTCCTTTAAGATCTTGAAGTACTTGTCTACGCCTTGCCCTATCAACTGGCTTTTCAGACTTGTATAACTTCTGTCGTCATGCAAAAGGAGCATGGCCAGCTTTTAAGTGCCATAAGCCTGACAGCCACTTCACCATCTTGGAAGCCTTGATAATACACTGGCAAAACAGGTGACGGGAAGGCTACTATCCCTGGGCTTAAGATGTGTAAAAACACTCATGATGCAGTATCTGTACATTTCTGAAATAATGTGTCTCCATGCCATTGTTCACATCAAGAGTGCAATGAGATGAGACCCTAAACTCAGAGGACCAGGAAGGCTGACAGCAACCTGGTCCTCCAAATGATTAATGCTGTACAGCTATTGAGGACAAGGCCTTGTACTGCTGAGAATGCAGCCAGCATCTAGACAGGACAAGTACTGTTCCAACCTGCAGAGAAAAATGTCTCATTTTCCATCATATGACCCTCTCCAGAGCATATTTCCTGCATACATGAAAATCTTAAGAGTTGCAGAGAAAATGATTCTCTTTTGTTCACTAATTCTCTTTTTGTTCACTTGTTTCACTAGTGGAAAAGAAGAGTGAATGTTCATTTTTAGGAACAGAAGTGACTTGTTATATTGAGATAGAGATAAGTTGTATTTTTTAGGTTTCTAAAAGTTACCTTGGCTGAGCCCATTATCTTTGGAAACAGGTAAGAAGAACATCCTTCTGGAGTTTGGCCCAGGTGACTGAAAGGTGTATGAAATGTTGCCTATTGGAAGAGGGGAAACAAAACCCTGAAATTCATCTTAACATATGTGATGGTTTTTTCACAAGTAATTTTTACAGAATTCCTATCTGTCTATATCCTCACTCCTTCACTGACCTACTACCTTTGCCAATATGATCCTTCTCCAAGGACAGGTTCCTCTTGAATATGGCCAGAGAAAGCAATACAAAGTTTCACCCTCTGTGCCTCTAAGGGGCACCCTGGCTGTACTTCCTTCAAGACAGATTTGCTTGTTCTTTGGGGTATTCTGTTTGTTAATGGGAATTCAAGACTCTTCTCCAGCACAATTGAAAGACATTAATTTTCCTGGTCCTCTTTATTCACTGTGCAAGTTTCAGGTGCATAGAAAGCAACTGAAAATACCATGACTTGGACAAAACACCAAGCCATGGTATTTTACTATAGTTTAGGAATAAGAAAAATGATTAGGTATAATTCAAGGATAAACCTTTTAAGATTACAGAAAATATTGTGTTTTAGGTGAATAATTTTTCCAGGTTCCAATTTTCATATCCTCAAAAGAGGAAGTTAAGAGTAGAAAAATGCTTGCAGTCCCTTGGCACTCTCAAATTCTAAGTTCCAAAGTATATTTACTAGGAGGTAAATATCAAATAATCAATACATGTGCTGTTTTGTCCCCCAATACCAAGTTTTCAAGTGTCCCCTATTTTAGAATTATAATAATAATAGAAACGGAACAACTGTTATATAGTTTTATTGAATATAGAACCATCGAAGAGCTGGCATAATGTTCACAGCAATTTTATTTTTCTGGAACACTGGAGGAAATAGTAAGGGAAAAAGAAAACGAGTCAAATCCATTAGACTCGGTCTTTGAGAAAAATCTGACTTTAGTTTTTATTCTACAAACTGTAATATATTTACTACTAGCAACAGTGAAGAAAAGGTCAGAGAGTCTTATTTTTATTTGCCTGACATCCTAGGTCTCCCAAGCTGACTTACCCTGTCAGAAGCATACACGATGTCAAACAGCCCGAGAGTGGTGACAGAAATTCCCACAGCTGGGCCATTTACCACTGCAACCAGAGGCTTAGGGAAATCTATAAAACAGTCTACAAAATTCCTACAGAAATGGAAGCACAAAGCATGTTTAAATTTCCTAAAGCAGCATCACCCAAGAAGTCAAAACAAAAATGAGGCTGACATATCATGTCCTTCTCCTCAGGCTGGGTGTTTCCAAAACCTTCACTAGCAGTGCCTCCTGTCTTATTGCTGACATGCTCTCCCATCATATTCACCTGGAATATCTTCTTAAATGGTCTTGGAGATGGACACCTGAATCCCATAGGTGTACCCTGGCTTGAACTACGCATTTGGGGCAGTTTGTTCTGGGCTTTCGTTTGGGAAGCATGGCAGTAGGTCATGTGCTGTGAGAGAATAGCACCATGATGGGGGAGGGGAACTCAGCAGGGAAAATGAACAGGGACAATGAGCCTCAGAGTTTGGTTGGTTTTGTGAGTTTTTTTTTTCTTTTTCAAGTCGCCTGGTTCTAGGAATCATGAAAACCACACATTGTTCTGGCCAGATAAGCATTCACTGAAGTCCTCTGCCTCAGCTGGAGTCCACTTTTATGCTTGCATGTCACAGCCAACCCTGAGCAACATGAACACCAATCAATAGACATGATGGGGCAAGAGGCGAGAGGGAACAACAGAAGTGCCTGCACGTGGATGGATGCACAGGGCAGAAACATGCCAAGCCCCACAGTTCATCATGGTGACACAGAGGTTGCATATTGTACTTTGTTCAGCCAGTGGCACTGTGATGAAGAAGGATGAGTCCTCTGAAATCAGATAAGGCTTACCTCAGTAAAATGGCACTCTGTTGGGCTTTCTCTTCTACGCCACCAGGGGGAATATCAGTAAAGTTGTTCAGATCATTCCCACTACAGTAATAGTCACCATTTCCTATAAAAACAATATCAACAAATTTGTCATTCATTCCATAATTACTAAGCATCTACTACGTGCCAGGCTCCATCTTACTTGAACTTCACTATGACAGGGTTGTTTCTCACTCAAACAGGTCTGTGTTTCAAAGCACTAGTGTTCTGAGTGGCTCTCATCTTACGGAAGGATTTCTGGTGGCTTAGTCCTTACAGAGCTGTGCCGTTAACACTCTCTGGTAAATTGATTCGATAAGCAGCTCTGAGAGATAAAGACAGGCAATCACCTTTTGTGCGATTTACAGTCTCAAAAAACCTGCCGGCATGGTGGGTCAGCTGAGGTTTTGACTCTAATGTAATGAGTTTGAGCTTTTGAGCTTTCATCTTGTGGAAGTAAGTTGTTAGAGCGTTCCTCAGTGGAGTCACTGGGTAGATCTGAACTATTTACTTTTTGGTTAGATGCTGAGTGCAAATTGTTTCGTGTCGCATTTTTATTACTGAATAGCCGTATTCTATTGTATGGATGGGCTCCATTCTAGGCCCTGGAAAATTAGCTTCAGTTTTTGCCCTAATTTATAGACTACTGAATATGCAGAACATTGATCTGAAAGATAAAGAAGTATGAGATAATATGAGAGTGTGTAGCAGGGGGTTTGGTCAAGAAAAGGAAGTAAGCAATTCAAAGGTAGGAACAAGTAGAGTGTGTGGAAGACTGGCCAGGTTATCCACTAAAAGAGAGGTGAGACTTTAACTTGGTCATGATAAAATTATTTTTTTGATGTGCTGTTGGATTCTCCTGGCCAAGATTTTGTTAAGGATTTTTACACCTATGTTCATGAGAGATATTGGTCCGTAGTTTTCTTTTTTGGCAATGTTTTCCAGGTTTTGGTATCAGGGTTATTCGTGCTTCAAAGAATGACTCTAGGAGTGATCGTTCTTTTTCTGTTTGTTGAAATAATTTAAGTAGAACTGTTGATAGATCTTCTCTGAATGTTTGGTAGAATTCAGCTGAAGCCATCTGATCCAGGACTTTCCTTATGGGGAAGTTATTTTATGACCTGTTCAATTTCTTCTTGGTCTATTCAAATGTTTTACATGTGGGGAAGTTGTTTTTATGACCTGTTCAATTTCTTCTTGGTCTGTTCGAATGTTTTACATCTATCCTTAATGATCTGGGTAGAGCATGAGTTTCAAGGAATTTGTCCATTTCCTCTAGGTTTTCAAATTTATCAGAGTATAGCTTTTCATAATATTCCAAAATTATAGATTTAATTTCATCTGTTTCTGTTGTGATGTCTCCATTATCATTTTTAAATTTGGGTCTTCCTTTTTTTGTTTTTTGTTAAATTTGCCAATGGTTTGTCAACTTTATTAACCGTTTTGAAAAACTAGCTCTTGGTCTTATTGATGGTTTCAATTGTTTTTCTGTTTTCTGTCTTACTGATTTCAGCTTCTGTCCTTATTATTTTCTTTTTTTTTTTCCTTATGCAAGTGTTCAACACAGGAAAAAAAAACAAACCCTCAGTGCAGAACTACTCTGTGGAAGTGTGCTAAAAAAAGGTGACACATGAAAGAAAAGGAGCTGGTCTGGGAGAGCTTACATGAAACACAAAGAAATCCATGACCATCACTAGTACTATTAAAAAGACTGACAGGTTAGAAGCAACAACAACAAAAACAAAACTAAGAAAGAGGAGATATTATTTGTAATGACCAGGAATCAAGAGTGCAAGACTGAGATAATAGCAAAAGAAATGGAAAATAATGGACTTTCGAAAAACCCAAACAAACACAAGAGAAAAATTCTCTCAGAGGAAGTGAAAAAATGCTCTAGAGAAGTGTACCCAGGGGCTCCTTGGAGACAAGGATCGTAAAACTTCATCTCACGTACTTTGGGCATGCTGCCCGAAGGGACAAGTTCTTGGGAAAGGACATCATGCTGGAAAAGGTGGAGGGTCAGAGGAAGAGCCTCAGTGAGACGGACTGACACAGTGATTGTAACTATGAGCTCAAGCATATTAGGGATTGTGAGGACGGCACAGTGGATAGGACAAGTTTTTGATCTGTTCTTCACAGGGTCACTACGGGTCATATTTTACTTGACGGCACCGGCACCTGGCAGCAACAAAAGAACAAGACAGATAATAGTCTCAGAAGACCAGACATTTCATCTCCATAATGAGAATTTCTGTCAGAGAACAAAACGACTGATAAGAGATTCAATATTTTCAAAGTAAAGTTACAAGAAAGCCTTATCAAGCAGTTTAAAAAGATATGCATTTACCAGGAAAAATGGATTAAAAATTATCAAAATAAGGATTAGTCTAGTAACGTTGTTATTGTTATGTGCCGTCGAGTTGCAGGTGACTCATAGTGACCCTATGAAGGAGAGTGAGTACTCAACGCTTGGATCTAGTAACATTAAGATAATTAGTTTTATACACACACACACACACACAAACACACACACATATATGTGTGTATATATATGCATATATATACACACACACACATATATGTTTTTATTTCACAGTCCGCTAGGGAAACAAAGATTGAGACTATTGTACTGAGAAAAGTTAATAATGATGTCAACCTTCTGTACATCACATCCATCTAAGGGTAGAAGACAATGAAGTAATATTTAAGATCATCTCCTTGGAAAAGAGGTTTGAAAAGGTGTCAGGTGATACACATTAACTTCTTCAGACTGCCCATAGGTGATAGGACAAGGGAGGTGGAGGTGTTTAAGTGCACTACATAAAGCTACAGAAATAATTACTACAACAACAGCAAACACTTCAAAATTATGAGAAACAAAACATACAAAAAGTAGAACAAGGAAAACACAAACCAGAGGAAAAAATAACAAAGGAAATATGGACAGAAAGCATGTACAATATCAGAACTAAAACTCAACACATCTCTTATAAAAAGAAATCTAAGCAAATAAATGCACTTTGCTAACAAACACAAAGTAGATCAAAGGGTAACCCAGCACATGCTATGCAACACACTGTTGTTGTTGTTAAGTGCCATCAAGTCATAGGTGACTCATAGTGACCCTATGAACAAAAGGCCTGGACACCTGTATAACTTTCATCCTTTCCCCAGGTTGACAGGGTTTCCGGAGGCAAGCTATTTCAGAAGTGGACGCCACTCCTGCTTCCAAGCTTGTTTTAATCGGGGAACACCACCAAACACTGTCCACCATGGGTAACCATTCTTGCATTTGACATGTCAGTGTCACAATGTTCAGCTTCACAGCAACCACGAATTTCCTCTCTGTATATTAAGTGGACAAGCCAGCGCTATACAACCTAGAAGAATGTTTCACCGAAAACAATTAAAGGCAGGACTGAGGGCCACGGATTAGAGTCACCCACCTTTGGCTTGGGAGCATCACTTTCTTCCCGATAGGCCGCGTGACCTCTCTCTATGCTGGTGTTGTTATTGTTAAGTGCTGTCAAGTCATAGGCAACTCATAGCAACCCTATGAACGAAAGACCTGGGCACCTGTATAACTTTTGTCCTTTCTCCAGGTTCATAGGGTTTCCAGAGGCAAGCTATTTCGGAAGTGGATGCCACTCCTGCTTCCAAGGCTTACAGTTAAAGGGATAGCCAAAGATATGTCAGGTAAGTAAAAACAGAATGGACGCAGGTGGTACCAGATTAATACTTGGCAAGGTAGAATTCATGACAAACAGTATTTAATGAGACAAAGAGGGACATTTAGTCATCAACTCCACAATGAAGGCTTAACTATTAAAATATTTTAGGATCAGTAAAAGAAAAACTCAATTTATAGCAAAAAGGTTTTTTGACACACAGGAAAAAAAATGACAAAAATACAACAGTAATAAACTAAAAAAGCTCACTGCCATCAAGTTGATTTAAACTTCCCCAATGTGTTTCTAACGCTGTACATTCAATAGGTACCTTCATTTCACTTTTTTTGTGTGTACTCAAGACAGAACAATCAGAATTAAAAAAATCAGAATCTGAAGTAAATGAGAAAAGTAAATCTAATTACTATATTAGAGGGAGCTCTGGTGGCCTAGTGGTAAGGAATACTAAACTTTATAATCTCTGAGTGTAATATAGTAAAAGTCTGAATTAATAATGTTGTTGTTATGTGCCGTCGAGTCGTTTTCGACTCATAG